TGTTTGTCTTCCCCCACCCCCGTGCGGGGCCCCATGGGATGCTCAGCCTGCCGGGCGCGGTGCGGTGCGGAGCGGCCCCGCGGGCGCAGCGGCTGTGCGTGGTTGTTATGGCAATGGGAGGAGGAGGAGGAAGAGGAGAAAGCGGAGGAGGAGGAGGAAGAAGGAGGAGGCAGCCCCGCCGCTGCTCTGCTGCCTGGCGCTGCCCCTCCTGACTGAATGAAGATAATTCGCATTGCACCAAAACCACGCACGTCAAACGGGAGGGGAGGGAAAGCGGCGAGGGGAAAAAAAATAAAAAGGAAAAGCCAGAAAGAAAAAAAGAATTTAAAAAAGGGAAAATTAAAAAGGCACACCAGGAGCGGCCGTGCTGCCTGGACGAGCTCTGCGCCTGGATGCGCCGGGATGCGCGGAGGCGGCGATGCCCACCTGCCTCGCACACGCACACACAGTCCTGGGATCTAAAAACTCATCCCTCAGCATGGACCACCCTCACCCAGCACTGCCCTCGGAGCAAGGGCCACGCTGAGAGGGGACAGGCAGCCCGGGGCCGGTGATGGGCACCGCACAGCCCCGGCCCGGGGTCCAGCCCTGGCACCGCGCCCACCCCGCCGGCACCGCCGTCCGAGCCCGGCACGGCATCGGCCTCTCACACTGTCACACACGCCTGGCTGGGATTATTATTGCTAAAAGCAGCTTTTTCTCAGCGACACTGAGACCTCTAGCGTCGTCATATCGGGCATGGGCTGAGCTCTGATGCGGGGCGACAGGCAGGATTCGTCAGACATCAGAGAAAATGATAGTCTACACTAACGGAGACATGCTTATATTTAAGATCTTCGGGATTCAGTTTTAGAATATGTAAACTAAATTGCACTAAAAAAAGTGCAATTCTTTTGGGACACCCAAGTTAGGTGACCAAATCAGAGGCTTTGCTGTTGGCAATGTAGGCACTCTGGTGCCTCAGGGGCAGCCCCAAACCTGACCAACTGCAAACCTGATCATCAAATCAGGACCTGAAAACAAAATCCAAATACAAGCAGCTAAATAACATTTACTTTTAAACAAATGTGACTGTATGCACTTTACTATTTAACATGTACTGTGTCTTTTAACAGATTCCTTAAAATTCTGTTTTGGAAGTTGATTTTCCAGATTTCTTATAATTTATGAGCAAAATTTGCACATTGTCAGCCTATGAGGCTTTCTCTGGGTCTGGGCTAAGCTGTGCCTCTCATCTCAGAGGGGCTGTGGCAGAGGTGGGCATCCGTAGGTGGGTGAAAGTGTAAACCTGGAGTACAGGTTGGGGTGTTGGGTCAATGCTACCCTCTGCTGGGCAGAGCCACTCTGCTCTGTGTGTGCCAGCTCCTGTGGTTTATTACTGCACCCCTCTGATGCTTTGGTGGCTGTCCAGCCTCATCTTGGGATTTCCTACAATGGATGTTTGTGGGCTGTCACAGCATGAACTCTGGAACAGGTTTCCTTCTGCTCCTGACTTACTTCCATCTTCTCACTACCCTCAGGATTTACAAACTCCGTGGGAGTGTCACCAGGAATCCCCAGGCAGCCTCACAACCTCACTGCATACCTGGGAAATGAAAGATGTGACAGATCTAAAAACATGCAGCTGACTACCAAATGCAAGTTTCCCTTCAAACAGCAACACTGTGGCATTGTCTCTCTGTTTCACATGTAAATCATATGGTATTAGAAATGCCATGCTCCCGCCTGCAGGAGAAGATTGAGAGTGTGAAGCCAGGAAGGGTGAGTGTGATGGTCTGCCCTGACCTCCAGCATGGTGGAGGCCAAAGACCTTCATCCATCCCGAAGATGAGCATCGTAACTTACCCTGGGGCTATGGCATCCCAAAATCATCCACCACTTTTATTTATGACACCACATTGGTCCCTATGGCATCACATTAAAATCTCCCTGCACAGACAGTGCCATTCACTTCATTTGGGCTTTCAGCAAGCAAAAATTTTACTTAAAATTGTTCAAATCCTTGACAATACTGCAATTTCTCAGCATCAAAACTGCATAAAATCTAAATTCTATTTTCCTTATTTATCCTGCACCTTTAGTATAACATTAATGTGCTCTTTTTTTGTGATGAAAAAACTCACATTTGAAGGAACTGATAATATAGAAGTCTCTGGAGCCATTACCGTTTTAATGAGACATGTAGGAGATGCTTCTGTTGGGCAGGAACCATGGGCACAATAGACCATAAAAGACCCTTCAAAGTCATTACAGTCTGTCATGTCAGCCTGAATTTAGGGAGTCTGTAATCTTCTTTGACTGACAGGCTCCTGCAGAGCTATTGTAGCTGTTTGAAGAACAGGTATTTCTAAAAAATTAAAATCTTAAGTGGGAAGTTCTCTCTGGAGTTGCTGGGAGTAGCAGGGCGTGCTGCAGCTGCGGGGATCTGCACGGCTGCATTCAATGTTTAATTACACACAACCCGATTACAAGAACAGTAATAGAGCGGCAAAATGAAATGCACAGAAATGCCAACGTTAAGACTGACAATAAAACATCAACTCAAGCCCTTTTAGTGGCTGCACAGAGGCCATCTCTCATTACCTGGGCATGCTCTGCAGCTCTGCCAAGGGCTGTAACAGAAAATGGCTAATGAGCAGGCGTGGCTGACGTGTGTTTGAAACAGCTACACAAACTGCACATGCACCCAGCCACTCCACGCAGCAAAACACCAAACTCCTGCACTGCAGATGGACAAGTTCCAGCTGGTTTTTAAGGCCTTCTCTGGAAATACTATATATTTAGGGGAGAAATTCAAAATCTACTTCTATATGAGATATTTTATTTCAGGATAAAGTGATAGGATTTTTGGAGTACTATTTGAAACCATGTTTTTACTGCTTGGTACTTCCAGCTGATGTTGGGGCCAGTCATGTAGGGTATGGCTGCACTTGGCCACGTTCACTGTTGACCCTTAATATGGGCACTGTGCAAATCAGTTTACCATGAGCATAAATAAAGGAGCCATGTCTTTTTTTCATTCCTTTCCACTGGAAACCTGGATTTCCTGTGCTTAAATACCATAATGTCAGACCTCTTTCCCAGCGTCGTTTCTGAGTCACACAGAATCTTCCTTTCCTATTACAAATCAGCACTATTGATGCTTTTCTGCAAGAACATCAGAAATGTGGCTGTGGCTCAGTTGCTGAGGTCCAAGGCCAGGAGATGAGCACCCACATGTTCCTGGCCATGTTTAGGGTTAAAACCTCATGTTCGAGCTCCAGAGCAGCATCAGTGTAAAGCAAACAGCACTCAAGCCCACTGCTGTTCTCTGCTGCCTTCCCTACCACGTAGCAACCTCAGATAATGGGTTTTCAGCTTATGACAGAAAAAATGTGGGCCAGTCCCAGTGAGAAGGTGGATTTTTGGTGTCACACACACACATAGGAGGAACCAGATTTTTTAGTGCTGGTCTGCTCCCACAGGCAGTGATAGCAATGCTGTTGTACAAGAGTGTAGATCTTGGTGAGAAACTCAAAGCAAAATGACATCTTGGATGCTTCATAGCCTCTGAGACAAGCCTGGGTTGAAGTAAAATCATGGGGCAAGGCATCTTCAAATTTGGCAGCACAGCTCTTAATTTTTTGAGAGGTCTGAATAGCAGGGTAATAATTCCATCCAAACTCACAGAATTTCTTGGCATTTCCAACAGTGAGAATGCCGCAGCTCCAGCCTGTGCCCCACTTGGAAGTTTGGAGGAAATCCTCTTGGGTATTATGCTTAGTCATGAGAAAATAAAATTATGACAAGATTCACTTGTATAAAAGAAAGAGACAAAATTTTTTCTCTTAAAAGAAAATTCCAAATATTTATTTAAATTAAAAAAAAAATCTCACTGCTATTTCTTTAATTGGATAGTAATTTTAAAAACTGCAGTTGGAAAGGTGCACTTTGATGAGGAAACCACAGGTGAAACTAGTGTTTATGGTTGCTTTTTAATGTTTTCCAGCTCAGTTTTGACACCACAAATTCAGTACAGAAAATGATAGACTTGGCTCCAAGAATGTCCACAACAGAAGGCTGAACCTGCTGCTGCTGATGCCAACAGCAGTGCTCCTTTGAGCTAATTTAAGACTTCTCAGTGATTTTAGGAGACTTTGTCTTGGTCTGTACATCAAGAGGATGCATGTGAAGAAAGGAACACAAAGCCATGCCAAACAAGAGACTTCTGTCTGCCTTAGGTACATGGTTGTTTGTGCGGTTTTAGGGTTAAATATAATGTCCTTCCACCACCTTTAAGCACATTAAATCCTTAGATCAGTTTAAGGTCTGTAAGATGACCTAAGGCCCTTGCTCATCTTAGATAGGTGAAACACTGTCCTAAAATATGCAAAAGCAAGGGAGAGGAGGTGATAGGTGGTTGCTGCCACTGCTGCTTTTCTCAGAGGGAGGAGGAAGTTTAAATTTCTGACATGTTTTTAACCATTTCTGTAAAGAAGAATGAACAAGAGCTGATGTAGATGTGAATCCTCAACCTGAAAGTAATTGCCTGAAGACCATCTGGTGCTTGGTTAAGCTCCCATGTGCTTATATTACTCATGAGGTTTACAGATCCAGCCAACCTCTTTAAGTTGCT